GAAGGGAATCGGACAAACTTAACAGTGTAGTGTACCGCCCGAATAGCAAAGAGTAGCCGAGATGACCGACAGTGTCAAGACCCAATACCAATGGCTCAGCCAGCTCAACGTTGATCATGTTCCCGCTGAGAGGAACTTCAGGAGAACCTCTATTATCTGTACAATTGGTATGTGTCCCCTTCCGTTTTCTCTTGTCGGTAACATGTTAGTAAACCCTTCTCTGTCAACAGGTCCCAAAACAAACTCGGTGGAGTCTATCAACAAACTTCGCAAAGGTGCTGAATTTGGCTGTTACCCCGCCCCCGCCTGTTCAAAGTTTGCTCACAGATATTCAACACAGCCGGGCTGAACATTGTTCGCATGAACTTTTCTCATGGCTCATATGAGGTAGCTCTCCAACCAGTCTTGGTTTTTAGTCCAACTGCCCGCGCTGCTGTGTCCCTGGTTGTGGTTGTCCTCTCGGTGGAATTCTTGGGAGTGGGGGCTGTTGGCGTGAGTGCTCATGTTTTGTTATCGGTGCTGATAAGCGGATCTGCAGTACCACCAGAGTGTCATCGATAACTCGAGGGAGGCTGAAAGGCAGCATCCCGGCCGACCATTGGCGATCGCTCTTGATACTGTATGTTCCCACCGAGAGTAAATTTCATCTTGGGCTCGTGTAGCGTTGGGAGAGGTGCATAGAGTTCGGTGTGTGGGAGATTTACTAAATGATCCTGCAGAAAGGACCCGAGATCCGCACTGGTAACACCAAGGGAGATGCCGACCTTCCTATCTCTGCTGGCTCAGAAATTATCATCACCACAGACGACAAATATGTTACCTCCTGTACGGAGAAGATTATGTATGTTTGGGCTAACATGTGATTTAAACTTCCTTGCTAACATGGTCCAATTTTAGGTACGTTGACTACAAGAACATCACTAAAGTGATTGAGCCCGGTCGCATTATCTACGTTGACGATGGTGTCCTTTCGTTTGAGGTTTTGGACGTCACCGATGAGAGGAATATTAAAGCTCGCTGCCTTAACAACGGCAAGATCTCCTCCAAGAAGGGTGTGAATCTTCCCAAGACGGATGTTGACCTTCCTCCTCTATCCGAGAAGGACAAGGAGGATCTTCGATTTGGCGTCAAGAATGGTGTTCACATGGTCTTCGCGTCATTTATCCGTCGTGGCTCTGACATTACCGCCATTCGTGAAGTTCTGGGGGAAGATGGAAAGGAGATCCAGATCATCGCCAAGATTGAGAACCAACAGGGTGTAAACAACTTTGATGAGATTCTCGAAGAAACCGATGGTGTCATGGTTGCTCGTGGTGACCTCGGGATTGAGATCCCACCTGCTCAGGTGTTTATTGCTCAGAAGATGATGATTGCCAAGTGCAATCTGGCTGGAAAGCCCATTATTTGCGCAACCCAGATGCTGGAGTCCATGACATACAACCCCCGTCCCACTCGTGCTGAAGTTTCAGACGTTGGTAATGCAGTGCTTGACGGCGCTGACTGTGTCATGTTATCCGGAGAGACTGCTAAGGGTAACTACCCAATTGAGTCTGTTACAATGATGCACGAGACCTGCTTGCTTGCAGAGACTGCCATCAGCTACGTTCCGCTGTTTAACGAGCTACGTGGGTTGACCAAGAGACCAACCGAGACAAGCGAGACCTGCGCTATCGCAGCTGTTAGCGCCAGCGTTGAGCAGGAGGCTAGCGCCATTATTGTTCTGAGTACTAGGTATGTTCGTACCATTATTTAAGACATGCTCGGATCCGCTGATCCTTTTATTATAGTGGATCAACTGCGCGCTTGATCTCGAAATATAGGCCAAGCTGCCCAGTTCTCATGGTGAGTAATTCCTGCTGCTAGCGATGGACACGAGCATGCTCGAGCAGGCCATGAGGGTTCTGCTCGGCCATGGTCTGGTCGAGAAGACCTCATGATCGAACGATTGACGAAACGGTGGACCCTGATTGAGTGATCGATGGTGGCCACCGCTCGAAAATGTCGAGTATAGTCGATTATTGAGGTGATCGATCATGATCTGATCGTGTCCATCACTACCTATCACCCGAGATCCCAATCGTACTGACGCTTGAGAAATAGATTACCCGAAATGCCAACGCTGCCCGATATTCCCATCTATATCGCGGTGTTTATCCATTCGTGTACCCTAAGCCTAAGCCTGACTTCAACCAGGTTATATGGCAAGAGGATGTTGATGAGCGTCTGAGATGGGGCACTAGTGAGGCCATCAAGCTCGGGCTCGTTAAGGCTGGAGATACTATCATTGCTGTCCAAGGGTGGAGGGGCGGATTGGGTAATACCAACACGTATGTGGACTTCCTTGTGGTTTTCTGTTTTTGGCTCCTCTACAACTCCCTCTTTCTTTATTCTCTCCTCAAAGCAATGTTCAGGAAAGAGGGAAGGAGCCAAAGCAGGATTGACTTTTTGAGGTGGGCACTGATTCTTGATACTTAGTCTCCGCGTCCTGAATGCCAAAGAATGAAAATTTCACATGTGGATTAAACTACCCAATAGCGAAAGCTCGGGATTAATGGGAGTGGTACGCACTACTGTAATAGCTTAGGTGGTATTTCCGGTGCTTGTGGATCCGTTTTGGTGGTTTCCAGCTGTTGGCAAGGTGCAAATAAATTTTCATTGGCTCAATAATTGTTTACTCTGATACTTTGTGAATGGGCCTTCGTCCGGCTAAGTGATACTTTCTCTACGGGTGTGAATGCACGGCTAGCTCCAGAGTGTTTATTACCGCTCCAACGGGATAGTAATTTCTGTAGTAATGGTCATTTGATTCTTGATAGGGGGTTGTTTTCCATACCCAGTCGATTTGGTGTTTATTATGCGGCAGCCTATACCGCTATCCAAAGTACTTGAAGGGGCGAGAGGGGTGCTCCGAGCTGGCGCTATCAGGTACGGTGGGCGCTTTGCGAATGTATGCCGCTCGATACAATGTCATGAATTATTGTATTCGGGTCTAGTGCTGTGGTAGGTTTGGGCTATTGGAACCTTCCTTAAATTCCTGTCTGGTCCAAAGTATATCGTGGGGAATTAGCACCGCTACAACGAAATGTATGACCCAAGTGCGTTGCTGCCGATATACCGGTAGTCTAGTCTGGTGCGCCGTTCGTGAGGGCACGCCACATAAGAGGCCATCTGTCTCGACTGCCTGTGACCCCTGTGCTCGTCTGCCCGGGCCGCCGCAGATCATTGAAGCGATACCGTAGGCTCTTCTCCGGCAAAACATACTGTCACCTTGTATCTGCGGGTGATAGTGCCCCCCACCATCCGTTGTTTTAGACTATCTATCCCTTCAACCCAGGGTGACGGAAAGGTACCCGCACTCCCATACTCGAGTAGTATATACTCGAGTACTGGTACATCGCATAGACTAAACTCGGCTAAATCCCAAGGATTCCATAACCCCTCCCCCGCTTCGGTCAGAGTGATCTTTCGCCGGACAGCGGAACCTACCAAGAAGAAGAAAAACTCCTCCTCCTGCCTCCTCCACCCCCTCCCTCTAAAGTCTCCTCTTCTTCCCCTCCTTTTTCGTCTCTCCCTCACTTTCCCACTCACGATCCCCCGCATCCGACGAACTGCCCGGCTACGCCGCCGTCCCCAACTTATCCAACTTTCCCCCTCCACCAAACTGCTCCATAACTTCTTGCGGGACCCTGTACTCGAGTGTCGTTTCGTAAAGGTCGGATTGGAGCTAAGGGCAACCGAGCCAATAGGGAGGCGGAGAGACTCCCGAATCGCCTTACTCTACGAGTGCTGTAAGCAACTATTATACCGTAACGGTATATAGGTACTTGAGTACCGAGCGAGCGGCGATTGAGCAGCACTGCACAAACGCTAATCCAGCTTTTTATAAAACGGTGTGGGTACTGGAGTACGAGTAGAGTACGCCCAAAGGTAACATTCCTATATTGGTATCAATGATACTCGTGCAATATGTGATATCTGTGTTTGTTGGACTAAAATCTGCTTATATAAATACTCATATTAAAATATGGAATACGGGGGTAATTTGATCTACATCGAAGAGCTCGTATTAGCAAAAACGAATTCCGTACTTTCCAACTGTGGCCACACAGACCTTCCCTACAGTATGCCTATTGTCCGAGAGGACTTGGGCAGGCGGGATTATCGGTAGGAGTTAGACTAAATCCGAGTGGCCTCACCTACCGGTCACTGGGTTCTCTGGAAGGTTAATTGTGTGGGGTTAATAGTTAGGGGGAACGGGTAGGATCGGGCACGGAGGAGCCACTCCTGCACTGGTACGAGTGCGGCCGATAGATATATTCGTCATGTGATAAGCTGGTGTAGAGCGGCAAGTTGCAACAAGCGGGAAACTAAACACCATAGATTTAAAACTCAAGATACTTCAAGAACAAGTAGGCAATAAACAGAAAGCTAATAAGAAATTGTGAAAAGAAAAGAAAGAGAGGGTTAAATGAAAAGAAATAATGGAAATTAAATCAGCCATGAAAATTGTTATCCTCCTTATTCTTAATAACAAGTTGCAACTTATTTTGAAGGTCTAAATGGTGATGATTAATGAAATCAATTGGTATTTTTTTCCATTCCAATACCAGAGCTGCTTTTACTTGATTCTTCATAGTATGGCTTTGGCCTTTGAACTCATACTCTTCCAGTGAGTCTTTTAAATAGTCTTAAAGTGGTTCTATTTTATTCAAGTCCGGTGACTGGGCTGGCCAGTCAACAGATCATATACTTTTCTTTTTCCACTTTGCTTCACCCAATTCTCTTGCAGTAGTGTGGGCTGGAGCATTTTCCTCAACAGCCCACATTTCCCTTCCAGTTTCTTGTTCTACCCATTGGAGAATTGGGTAGTACAATAGTGGTAGGATACATTCTCTATAGAGAACCCAATTGATATCCCCCATACTTCGATTACTATGCTTTTTAATAAGCTCCTTAAATTCCCATTCTGGGTAGTGCTTTTGTCGGGGATATCCTGATGGGAGTAGATCTGTTTCATCTTGCTGCTGTATATTAATATTTAATTTCCGTAAAATTTTAAATGCTTCTGTTCCTTCAATTCATACGAGAACCTGTTTTTCATCCTGCTTGTCTCTTTTTATCTTATTTTCCATCTCTAGCATATTATTATAGTATTCCTTCTCTTCCTTAGATTCCTTCACCCACACAAAATAAGGCTCACAATACCCATAGACTATAGAAGCTTAAAACATTATCCATACCCGTGCTGATTTAAACTGATGTCTCCCGTAATCAAGTAGATTGAAGCTACGAGAACGTGATATATTGGGGGGCCTACAGGGGTGCCCAATCTTGACCCATATTTAATTGGAATATGGAAAGCATCTAGGATAATATTGATTTAGTTTAGTTTGTTAAATTCTTTCTAATTATTTCTTGAAAACTGTACTCATACAGCTAACTTAAAGTTGTATACCTGGAAGGTCAACCCCTATACTAGTTCTTAGCATGTAGAACTTGAACACAAGAATTAAAAATTGTTAGGCAGATAGTCTGTGCAGGTCTGATTACATATACTAAATTCAGACTCAAGTGTTCAGATTCTGAATAGTAAGAACTGGTACCAAGTGTCCAGATTCAACATAGTTGCACAGGTACTTTATGAGAAGAAATATTGAAATTGAAAAAAGTAAAAATGAAAAAAAAAAAAAGGTATTGGATTATCATAGATCTATTCAAATTACCTAAAAGGCAAAGTTCATACGAGTTTCTTTACGATACTTATTGAGGAATAGTTTCGATTGACTTAAAGGAAACTAACAGATATTATAGTAGTATTACGAATGTGGCTTGGCATGGAAAAGGTATTCACATGACTTATGATTATGAGTCATAGGTATATTATTGTTTCCCACATATAACTCATTTAGGGCATATGATTTGTTATATTATGATTTATTATGTTTCGCATATGACTTGATTATGAGTCATAGGACATGCGCCTGGCGAGTATGCCTTGTACATATGATTTATGTTTCACACATAACCTCATTATGAGGTCATGGGTTTCACATATGTGACCACTGGGGATCATATGACTTGTTTATTGCGTTATGATTGGTTTATGAGTTTTTGCACATAACCTCA